AACACTTTCTGCTTTATTCTTTTCAAGGTGAAATATCCTCAAGAGGCCTTTAAACATAAACAGCTTCTGGGTCATCTCAATCCTTCTTGCTGCAGTCACCTTGCTCATTTATGGAGATCAAGTCACCAGCACTATGCTCCTCTGGCTGTGTACCTACCCACACAGGAAAGATAACCATGACAGCGTGCCCACACTCAGGGAGTTCAGCATTCTGCAGCTGCCTTAATATTACATTTGAATTTTACTTCCATTTTACAGTGTTATCATTTTCCTTTTTTCCCCTCTATTTTCATCTTAATGGCTAATTCTCTCATCCTCTCTTTTAATCATTCATTTTTTTTATTTGTTTTAGGACAACTGCCTTACATTAAACCCCTAGGCTTAAGTAATCTGCCAGCTTCAGCCTCCCAAATAATGGGACTATAGTTGTGCACAACCGTGCATGAGTCAGCCACCTATTATTTATAAAATATCAGCTGGGTTTACAGCTGGGAAAGGAGGCACCACACAATTTCATTTTTGGTTTTCTTTTTTTGGGGGGGTGGCCTATGTGGCACTGGGGATCAAACCTAAGAGCTACATCCCCAGTCTACTTATGTATGTGTGCATTTTTTCAGGCAGGTTCTTGCTATCATGTCCAAACTTGGCTTGAACTTAATATCCCCCTGCCTCAGCTTCCCAGAGTTCTGGGATTATAAGCTACTATTACCATTCCTGGCTCAGCACCATTTAGTAACTGAGTAACAGACATGCAGTAATCAGTCACTGATATACATTGAAAAAACTGTCATGATTGGTCATTGATAACTATAAGCATCTGCTATTTACATTATGAGGGTCAGGGAGATAGCTCAGTGGTATAAGTGCCTGTCTGGCAAGCACAAGGTCCTAAGTTCAGTCCCCAGTACTGAAAAAAAAAAAGATATTTACATTATGATGTGTTGAATGAATAGCTAGCAGGGAAATTTTTACTTTATGCAATTATATAATATACTTCTGTAACTAGAATTTAAAATAGGCTGCTGAAGGACTGACATTATTTTACTAAACTATGGTAAGTGAAATTTGTATATATTATGAACTACACAAAGTGAGAACAATGGCTGGGCATGGTGTTACATGTCTATAATCCCAGCATTCTGAGATTACAGGAAGATCACAAGTTGAAGCCAAGCCTGGGCAAGTTAGCAATTTAGCAAAATCCTGCCTCAAAATAAAAATTACAAAAGTCTGAGAATGTAGCTCAGTGTGAAGGCTATAGGTTCAATACTTTGTAACACAAATACAAACAAACAAGTAAAAAAAAAAAGTGAGAACTACTAGGAACTTTCAGCTATTGAAGAAAACAAAGCCCTATATACTTGACTTGAAAAGATTTCTAAAACATTGCTAAATAAAAATTTTTTAACTTAGAACTCTACATAAAATATGGTTCCAATTGGGCATGGTGGTGCATACCTGTAATCCCAGCACTTGGGAAATTGAAGCAGGAGGATTGCTGTGACTTCAAGGATAGCTTGGGGCATATGGTGAGTGTGATGGTTTGTGTCTAGTTGTCCCCTAAAAGCCTCATGCAGTCATAGGGTGGGACTTCGAGTTTGAGATTAATTCATAATCCACTGGGATTATGGGTTTTAGTATTACTAAGATTATGACTGTGAGTACTACACCACACCCTGTGGTGGATAGCCTCAATGTAATATAAGAGAGACAGACTTTCTTTCTCTGTTGCACTGTTGTTGTTCTGCCGCCATAAACTGATGCTCTCTGCCATGTGCCAGTCTGCTTTGGAGCCAGCTGAGTATGGACTGAAACCTCCAGTAACTATAAGCTAAGTAAACCTTTCCTTCCTTCATTTTGGGTATTGGGTATTTGTCCCAGCAACGAGAGAAGAGTAACTGAGACAGAATTTGGTACCACAGGAGTGGGGTCATTGCTGTGGCTAAACCTGACCATGTGAATTACAAGTTTTTGGGAATGGCTTATGGGAAGAGATAGGAAATGATTGGAGAGCTCGCCTTCATGTGAAGAACTGGAACAGCTTTAGCTGTTCTGTAGGGGAGATTCTGGTCACAGCTCAGACCAGAAGACTGTCAGGAAGCCTGCCTGTCAAGACAGGCTGGGGAGTTCTATGCTAAGGACTGCATTGGTTGTTGGACTCCAGATGATTTGTGCTACAGTTTGGCCAAAAGACTATCTGAATTTTGCTCATGCCCAGAGACATTGCCTGAGACTCAGTTTAAGCATGGCAAACTGATTAATCTTTCAAAAGATATTTCAAAGCAGCCAAATATTGGGACGGTGACATGGCTGTTATTGGGAGCTTTCAGCCAGATTTATGTTGAAAATCAAGAGCAAAGAGCCAAGCAGGATGATTTAAAATGTTATGAGCTTGGCCAGAAAGGAAGCACCAGGAAAGCTGTGGACTGCAAATTCAGAGCTGAGAGGATCTCCACAGCCAAGAAGGAACCAGAGAATGGAAAGGATGGCCTGAGGGCATCACAGGAGGTAGCAGGTCTTTACCCTTTGCAGTCTCAGGGACTTTGTCTTGAGGAAAAAGCTGCTGAATCCCATGTTCCAGAATGGCAGCAGCGGCCACACCAGGTTCCAAGATGGCGCCAGCATGGACAATTTGTTCCTTGGAACCAGGGTCAGAGTGTTTATCAATCCAGGCACTCGACCCCTACAGCCAAGAGAGAAGGAAGCCTGGCTAGTGATCCAGTTGGCGGCAGACCTTGGCATCATCCACATGGTGCTGGTTTTAGGCACATTCAGAATGCAGGAGTTCTGAGGTTAAGAAGGCTTCCACCTCAATTTCAGAAGGCCTGAAAGGCCAGGCATTGTACCCTTGGGAGGGCAGTGTGTGAAGCAGAGAGTGAGAAGCCTATTTCGTGGAAACCCCAAAAGTTTGGAAAGCCAGAAACATGGATCGCCTAAGGGAAACTGCAAAGAGGGAGCAAAGCCAGCCTAAAAGAGAAACCAAGGGAGCTACCACCAAGAGTGCCATAGGGGTGGAGCCATGTAGGGCCTTTGGAGCTCACAACTCAGTGCAGACTGCTTCAGATGTTCCATTTGCAACTATGGGATTTAATGTTTGCCCTGCTGGATTTTGGACTTGTGTTGGTCCCACTGTTCTGTATTCTCCTGTTGTTTGCAGCTTTTGGATTGGTAATATTTATCTTGTGCCTCTGAATGTTGGATGTGTTTAACTTTTCTTTTGTATAGGGGCTCACAGTTAAGACTTGGATCTTGGAGGAGACTTGGTACTTGGACTTTTCAGCAATGCTGAAACTGCTGAGACTTCAGCAACTCTTAGAGATGGACTAGAATAGCTTTTGCATAAAGGGATGTGCATCAGTCTTTGGGGGTCAAGGGGCAGAATGTTATGGTTTGTATCTAGTTGTCCCCCCAAAGCATCATGCAGCCATGGGGTGGGGACTTCTAGAGTAACACATGAGCCACTGGGATTATGGATCTTAGTATTACTGGGGTTATGGGTGTAAGTACTACACCCCACCCTCGGGCGGATAGCCTCAATGTAATGTAAGAGACAGACTTTCTCTCTCTGTTGCACTGTGGTTGTTCTGCCACCATGAACTGATGCTCTCTGCCATGTGCCAGTCTGCCTTAGAGCCAGCGGAGTAGGACTGAAACCTCCAATAACTGTGAGCTAAATAAACCTCTCTCTCCTTCATTTTGGGAGTTGGGTAGTTGTCCCAGCAATGAGAGAAGAGTAACTGAGACAGTGAGTTTAAGATCAGTCTGGACTACACAATAAGACACTGTCTCAAACAAAAAAAAATAATGCCTACTTTAGGATGGGCGTTGTTCTTGGCTCTTGTGATCCAGCAGTGAAGAAAATACATTAATGCCTCTATTTCCTTAGAGCTTACATGATTGTCAATGAGACAGATTACAAAGTAAGGAAATAAATAACTTATTTGCAAATAGGTGAGTCTTTTAAATAATAATAATAATAATAATAATAATAATAATAATATAAAACAATGTGACACTAAAGTGACAGCCAGATCTTCTTTCAGACAGAGTAGTCAGAGTAACACCTAAGATGGGAGCTCAACAAGCAACTAGCCACGATATACAAGAAACTACCATAAATCATTTCTGAAACAAGAGAGAGAATAAGTAAACTGCCATAATATGTATGCAAGTCAGATCCTGGAGTCTGTACCAATACAGAGTACTTAGGAAAAGAGTTCTTCTAAGTCTGGATGCTTTAGAAAGGGACTTACAGGAAAGGGACATGAATGAACTGAGTTAAAGTCCAGGAAGAAGGTAACAGACAAGGCAAGTTCTAAGAAAAAGTCAGACAGCAATGCTATAGTATTCATTACAGATGGGGAATCTCAGGTTTTACACTTTTTCCAGTTACTGGAGATCCTGAAAGAGTAGATGGTCAACTAAAGTAGCTCAGTGGAGATTCTGAGAGACAGGTTGTCTGTTTTAGTGTGAAGCAACTGCTAGATGTATACAACAAAGAAGTATTTGTTTAGTGTGGATTTAACAAAATTCATGCTTCCCCTTTTGTTGCATAGAGTTATTCCTAAAAAGCAGCTCCCTAACAAAAGACTACATTTCCCAGCTCCTTTACATTTGGTCTTGCCAAATGATTAATCAATGGAATGCAAACATGAAGGACTGGTATCACTTTGAAGCTAGAGAAGGTAAAAGAGTATACTCTTTCTACTGTCTCTGGGGCACTGGATGACAAGTCCATATAATGAAAAGAGATTGAGGCCCTGGGCTACCAGAAGGGACAAAGTCACCTGCTAACTAAAAAACACCAGACTATTATGTGATTGAGAAATTAACTGTTGTGATAAGTCATTGAAATTCTGGGACTACAGTAACTAACATTATTCTGATACTATGCAAAGAAGCAAGTTTAATGATGGTAGGAGCCAAAAAGATAACTTTAGTATGAACATTGACAAAACCAAAAAAGACTGACAAATATATAGTAATATTAAATCACATACCTCATATTCTGGTCCAAAGCCAATATAACCACAGAATCGTCCAGAAAGTCTCCAGAGATAAGGGATTCCTCCAAAGAGAAGAATAAACTGTAAAACAAAGCACATTTTAGTCACAGTTGCACAGTACTAGGAGAATAGAAAGAAACCATTACAATATTAAATTTAGTCTATCAAGACATTTTTACCTACATATTGTATATGGATGAATTCAACAGTATGTGGTTTATATCTCAATAAAAGTTTTTTAAAAAGTAAGGATTTTACTTATCAAAATAAATCTTACAGAAAAAGAAGGTAGAGAATAAATAGTGGTCATTAGAGACTGGGAGGGGGCCATAGGTGGCGGTGGGAGGACGGGGCGTGGTGGGGGATACGTTGGTGCTTGACCGGGCAATGGCGGCGACGGTGGAGGCATGATTTCCTGTTACCAGGGAAAATAGGATGCAAGCCCAGAAACTTTCCCCATCACCTCTTGTTGAAAATTTGATTTGAAAGTGGTCTGGGTTGGAAAAATGGAAAGTGCAGAGATTTGATGTGTGCCTCATTTTGCACTGGAGACCCTTCACTACTAATTATCAAGAGAAAAAGAAAAAAAAAACTGGAAGCTAATGTGGTAAACATTTAAACTTAAAAGTTATGAACCTTACTCAAAGTCAGAATGGAATGATTTGTAGTCACAGCACCATCCGCTCGAAACTGTTCTAAGACTGCCTGTATGTGATTCCCCTTGATTGAGTCACTGAGTTTGGAGGTGAGCTTCATGAAGATGGAGGAAAACTCTTCTGCACTTCTTGCAATGTGGTTCTGAATCATGCTTGCAAGTCTGCTATTAGTGACCACCTCAAGTCAAAGACTCGTACCAAGAGGCAGGCAGAATTTGAAGAGCAGAATGTGAGAAAGAAGCAAAGGCCCCTAACTGCATCTCTTCAGTGCAACAGCACTGCACAAACAGAAAAAGTCAGTGTTACCCAAGACTTTGTGAAAATGTGCCTGGAAGCCAACATCCCCTGAAGAAGGCTGATCACCTAGCAATCTGTGCTTTGCTGACTCGCCACATGAAGAATGGAGGCTCCATACCTCAGTCAGACCAACTAAGGAGAGTTTATCTGTTTGATGGGTACAAGAATGAGAATCAACTCCTCAACTCACAGGATTGCTGACCAGGAGGTTATCACTGTGTGACCAAGGTAAATAATGTGGAGTATTAAAGTTGTGTTTTGATTGTGTGGTTCATCTTTATGTTTATTTCATTTAAAATCATGTGATGGCAGAGTAGTTTTGCATTGTGTATATAGTTGCAGGCAAAAAAAGTCTTCACTGCAGAACTTATTAATTTTAGTCACCAGTGGTTTAAGTAAAACTTAGGGATAGAATATGCTAGGATACCTGAAACCTGATGGTTATCTTTAAAATTGATGGGTTTCTCCTGGGATGTTTGTGCATGGAAAAAATTCCATGCTTTTTTTTTTAACCCCTTGTGAGATTATTTAATTATCTGGATTGAAGACCACTGTAGAAAATTGAAGCTGCTACCAGGCAACACCACCCAGAGAAGGAACTTAAAGGAATTATTCTGATTAGAGGAATCTCTTCAAAATGGAAGAAGAGGGCCAAGGAGACAGCTCAGCAGCATAAGTGCTTGCCTGGCATAAGCAAGGTCCTGAGTTCCATCCCTGGTACCGCAAAAAAAAAAAAAAAAAAAAAAAAAAAAAAAAAAGAGGAAGAGGTAATGAGAAACTGTTATTATATAGCAGAAATGACTTATTCCCAAGTATGTTTCACTTGTGTTTGTTTGAAATAGTTACCTACCCTATCCTTCAGTTCCTCATTGCCTTTTCTTTTTTAGTCTTTCTGTTTTATTTAGTATCAGCTTCAAATGACCAAAAGACTAAAATCTTTCTTTCAATATTAATGCCAAGAGCCACAGGGAATTTTGTGGTGACAAGATATGTTTCTTATTGTGTATACAGTTTTGAAACATTGCTTTCATTTTAAGCACTTTCTTGAATATGCAGTTTTTTAAATGTTTTTGTGTCACTTCAGACTGACAAGTTAAACAGTCATTTTCTGGTTGAGTTTCCTCCTTTTGTAGAGAATTAATTTTTGTCTGACAGGTCAAATAATGAAATTTCTTTTGATACATTAATTTTTCTGTGAGATTATAAGGGTAGAAACTATTTTTCTTTCACTTTTTCTGCTTTGTTTCTGGCAGGACTTACAGAGGAGATCTGGCAGTACACAGAATAGTTGTTTGGCTGAGAAAATAATTCCATTAAAGTTAGCCATGTTCAGAAAATTATCTGAACCTGAGCACCCTGTAAGGTTATCAAAGTAGGTTAGCACAGTTGGGTCCCCTCCATAAGAAACCTAGGATATATTTGAGAAATTTAACAGCTAAAAAGTTGGATAAGATCTTTATTTTTAAAAATATTGAAATATTTGAAAACATTCAAGTAAAAATAGTTAAATTTCTATTACAGAGAGTGGTAAGTGATACCCTATGTGACTTTAATGTTATTTTAACACAAATCTTTAAAAACCAAGGTAAAAAAATAATGCAATTCATACAATTTTCCTTAAGTGTCTTACAGACTTAAGTTCCTAATTCAAGTCAGATGACCACCTGGTTTTAAATTGTCTTACCATTTAAAAGCCTGCTACCAAAAAAGTCAAATGTCAGAATGTCAAAACACTTTTTTCATGGTTGGTTATGTTGTAGTAGCACAGTAAATGCCCAGAGTAGCACTGTGACTGGTGAAGCACATAGATGAAAAGGCCAGGAAAAAGCCACAGTCTGTTTTGCCTTTCTCTAGGAAAGACTTTGCAGGCAACCGTGTTTAAATTTCATTACCTAAGATGTTAGAAGATCCAAGAAGCTAGGAAAATTGGGTTTTATAGCAGTATTTTCAGAATACAAAAATAAGGTTAGATTTAGAATCTAGTTTTTTTGAAATTTATGCTCCCTTTTGTTTGCGTAGTACTGTGCACCACCAGTAAGCATGTGATGACAGCTTTTAGTGAACCAGTAAATAAACAAAAACTCAAGTTTGTGTTTCTGGTATACAATTGTTTTTCAGACTCCTCATTTTGATATTTAGTTTATCTATGGTTACAGTCCATTTTGTTAGGATCCTATCATGTTCTTAAGAGTTCTACATCCTGTTGGGTTAATACCATTGTTTTACTGATTATGAAATGTTGGTTTCCTGAAACTGGTTAATTTTTGTCTCATAAATAACACAGTGATTGTCTTAGCCTGCTCAAACTGGTACAAATCCCTGAAACCATGGTAACAAGTGGGATTATCTAAGAGGCATATACTGCATTGGAGGTAGTATTGGATGTGTGTATAGAAGCTTTCAGTCTTAAATGTATAGTGTTAGTGTGATGTTATATGGAAAAAATAGCAACTTTTTTTTCCATTTTATAAGTTGTATGCATAAACAGGAGTTGTAATGTTTCATTTATAAACTGCTTTCAACACATGCTTAACTATTAGTAGTGTTTCTCAAAGTATGATAGTATGTCTTCCGGAATTTCACTATATGCTTACAGTTAATAGTCCTAGCTTGTTGAAATGTTGAATTTCCTGTTGGTTTCTTTTTGATTATATGGGCACATATAGCAAGGCTGAAGTATGTTGTAATCGTTTTTTTGCAGGGTGAAATTTTAGATTTTGTATGAGAACCTTATATAGTTTTTTGTCTATTACCAGGTTATGGGTTTTTCTTTCTTTTTTTTTTAAGTGCTACTTTCAGTTAATGTATTTGGCCCTATCAAATTTTTGGGGACCAGAAAACTTTGTAAAGTTCTGTATTTTATTAGTGTAGCAAATCAAGTCCTAAGTTTGTAATTGTTCTGAAATATTAATCCCTTAAACACTACTGTAAGTATAGTTGGAAAGATCTCCAAGCTGAAAGCTCCATGTTGCCTAAAAGAATTTGTATGTAAACATTAATAGAAATACACATAGGCAAATTATATATAAGGTGGCCCAAAACAAAAGCTGCAGTTTATCATTTTGTGCTTAGTCTTTGTAAGAGCGCTTTATGTTTGACTCATTCCAACGGACATTAAATGAAGACATCACATTAAAAAAAAGAGAGACTGAGAGGGGTGGGGGAAGAAATTAAAGGGATAGGTTAAACAATGAATATCTAAATAGAGTTAGGAGGAATTAGTTGTCTTTTAACAACGTAGGGTAAATACAATATACAACAATTTTATGATACAGTTAAAGATAACTGGGAATAGTCCAAACGTTCCTGACACATAAATGATAAATGTTAGCTGAGTATGGTGGTACATACCTGTAATCCCAGCTATTTGGGACACTAAGGCAAGGGGTTTTCAAGTTTGAGGCCAAATTGGGTGACTTGGCAAGATTGTATCAAAATGAAAAATGAGGAGGGGGTGGGGGATTGTCCTGCCATGCTTAGCAGTGCTTTTGTATGTGTTTAAGTAGCCAAGTCTTTCTTGGGGGTGAGGTTCCCAGGGCGCCTTGGTATCTGAAGTGATCATAAAGACCTCATCAACTGCCACTGAACACAACTGAAACAAAACAGGAAGACAGCAGCAAAACCTTCAGAACAAGGTTTTCAAAACAAAAACAGAGTTGCAATCTTGGCAGAACTGGTCAAAGAAAATTACTTATGTAGAACCAATCTTCAACAAATCATGCTGGAGGTGGCACTGCATGCTACAGACTTGCTCTTGATAAGGCCTTCGTACTGAGCAGTTCAATCAAAGGCAGATTTACAGCACACTCATGCACATACATTTGCATCTTCATAACTCAAGACCACATTTGGGAATCTTACTCTTCCCATTTTACCGCACCTTGACCCAGAATGAAGAAAATGTCTGTGATGAAACTGACTTCATAATTTGAAATGTTAAAGCTACTCTTATTCACTGTTGTACAAACTGTTACACAATTCTGTTGAACTAATATACTTTTTGCTTCTTTCAGAAAAAGGAGTACGTAAAGGAAACCAAAAAGAAGGGGAAGCAGGTTGATAATGAAAGCTCTGGAAACTGTCTCATTTGAGGAATTGGTTATGATGTCCATGACTATAACCTTGTGG